GTTACTAGGAAGAAGTTACAGTACTGTTTCTGATACTTGTAGGAAATAGTAGGGTATGTTGACAATAGCTTAAGCCACCCTGAATTTTTGAAAGAGAGGCATCTGAAATTCCTTTGTGATCCTTTTGTTTGTATAACTAAGTAAAGCTGGCAGGAATTGGAAGGATGTAGGAGAAGCTGTATCAGGTATGTAGACTATGTGGAAAGCTATTGTAAAGCATTTGAATTTTTCTTTTCATTGTAGAGGGAGGGTAATGCATTTTTAAAATTGTTGTTTCAATCCTGATATTTGAATCCCTTAAGGAATAACACCTCTTAGAAATCTGTCAATTGAAACCAAAATAAAAAACCTCAAACTGTTAACATCAGTCAGGGACCCTTTGACTATAGGGGCTATAATTTGCCATTTCTGTGTTGTTGGTACCTGCTTATAACATACTAGAAGTCTTCTAGACTTGTGTTCTTATTGCTTGGCAGCAAGGCTGGTATTGTTAGGATGCTGATATTAAATACTGAATCAAGTACTTAGAAGTTGAAGTGTGTGATGGAGCACAAAAAGAGATTCGTTTCAAACATGATTAGGAACAGTAATCAGTCTTGTGGTCCCCATTTACAGAGGCAGTCGCACTAGACCAAGACTGGTGATGGCCTTCAGTTTACAGGCTTGCTTGCTTGCTTAGATGGACAGTCATTCGATTCTGCTGAATATCTTGTCCCCTTCTAATAAAAAACAATGTGAATGTTCTCTGACGTACCTTTTCTGTCTGCTGTGCTTGTATTTGGATGCTGTCTCTAATACCAATGGACTGACTACTGAAGTTTGTAAATTCATCTCCCTATCAAGAAAGCAATTACCTGAGCTGTCAAGTGCTTTAGATTTTTTTAAAACTGTAATCAAGTTAAAATAAGATAATTGGAAACTTGCAAACCTTGGTGTAAACAACTGTAGATGTTTTGGGCCTTCAGAAAAGGTGAATAAATTTCTGTATCAGAGGAAGTGTTCTGAGGTGGTTTTTTTGGTGTGTGTTTTTTTTTTTTTTTTATGTTTACTTACTTCATGCGTGATAGTGCTTGAAGCCTGTTTAAATGATCTGTTACCAAAATCACAGTAGAAAGCAGCACACTGACACTGTTGCTTTTTCAACCAGATTAAAATTGGTTTACTTAGGTTATATTATATTATTAATGAGAATATTTTTCAGTATTTATAGTTGTACTGTACAGTCATTGAATATCTGTATATGACTGAAAGCTTGGCCTTCTGTCTTAAGAGTGGCAGGTACGGGCCCTTGGGAGTGTGGAGAGAGACTCGACAGGAAAGATTGTGGTACGGATGTGTGTGCTGCTAGAACTTTAACTTCCCTAACAACTAACCAATCCCAAGCATGGTGTCTCTTAGCATGGGGGAGAAAAGAAATACAGTATAAGTAAGTGGGCAAGCTAGCTATGGAATGGAGTCTGGAATATCCCAGATATGTTTACAGCTGTTCAGACTCCTTTGTGTAGACATTCAAATCTTGCATATTAACTCTTCTATGGCTGGGAGACCAACTTAAATATTTGTGTATGATCATCACTTTTTGTGAAGCTGCCTTGCTGTTTGCTTGTTTGATGTCTGGTCTTTTAAGTGTCTTAATCTTGCCTGTATACTTTAGTAGATAGTGTACTTCTTTCTCAAGCAGATGGATAACTCTTACAGCTCACTGCCCTCAGCCTGTGCAAGGCATCAGCTTTTGCCTCACTGTCAGCGTAAGAAAGCTTTGTGACAGCTCATTGACAGAGGTCACACTAGGGCAAGGCACTGGCTGCTGTACCTCCTCAGGTGAAAATCTTTCCTGTCTTCCTCCTCAGGTGGAGAAACCCCTGAGAGTACACTATAGGGAGTAGAACACAGTTGTATTATGCTGGAGGTCAGTTTCACACGTCATCTCTGGTGCTAAAGTTCAAACACAAAGTACTAGCTTACTAGTCGCTGATTGTGCTGTATGGATATTCTGTACCAGTTGTTGCAAATAGCAGGTGTTACTGCAGGTCACTTGGAGCAAGAAATTGCTGGTGTTTCTTTGTGTGTTTCTTTTTCAGGGTTCGCATTGCTTCTGCAAGATAAGCTTGGGAAAGATCATGTGAGTGTAACAGACTGGAATATGAATTGACAGATACAACTGGAGGCCTCTGGCTCTCCAGTGGGGTTTTGCAATATCCTTCCATAAGGTATAATGAAAGCAACGCATTTTGATTCAGGGCTGTTCTTACTTAAGCTTAGCAAATGAAATTATATATATTGAGCTCTAATAATAGTAAGGAACTGTATCACTGGAAGTCCTAGTGATAATCTGGTACTTAGCTGCTAGTTTTCTGACCTTTTTGTCAAAGACAGTACCTTCAGAGACCCTTAAGGGCCAGAACTACTTTAGTCTCTCTTGGGGCTGTATAACCAGGATTTTTTTTCCTGATGTCCTGCTACAAAATAAAACTACCTCAATGCTCTCATTCCATGTGCTCTTACTTGTTGCTGACACTGGTTGGATGAGACTGAAACTTAGGAATTAGTTGCTGTTGCAGCCCTGAGAAAGATAATTATCTCCCCCAAGAAAAGAGCCCTTAAGACTCCTCATTTGGTGGGGAAAAAAGTATGGCAGCCTTAGCTTAGGACTTCTGAATGGGGTGTTGCAGTGTTGGGTGACACTAGTGGGCCCTGTGAGGAAGGGTGTTATTTCCATCTCCTGACTCTTACAGTGCAGAAAAATATTTTCAAATAAGTCACAGGAAATAAGTTTAGCTTGTAATAGAACAGGGTTATTTGCAAAATTGAAGGCTTTTTACCCCAGTGGATGCAATCTCCATTCTTCATGACTTAAATGAACTTGACTATGTGAGACCCAATGCAGCAATGATGTAACTTAGAACTTAGCATTGCTTTGACAAGAGGCTGGACTAGGTGACCTCCAGAGGTCCCTTTCAACCCAATTATTTCTGTGACTACTAATAGAAATATTTGTGGGTCTTCTTATTTTTAATTTTTATTATGTTGCAAATCTTTAGATTCTCTGAGGCATATTATACAGATGGAGAAATCCTTATATGCCTAGTTTGCTGCCCTATGTTTAGAAGTTATTGGCAGTCTAAGCTGTTTCTGTTGTGTGGACCTTAAGGATGGGACAGTTCCTGAAAAGTGATTATTGCTATTGATGAGACCATGCAAAACACCCCAGTTCTTTTGGTGAGGTCTACATGTGTGTATCTTCAAGTGGCCCTGAAGCTGTAGTTCTGCCACCCTTCAGTGATGTGAAAAAGCTGCTGCTGCGGGATGCTGTTGGTACCACTTGGTCTTTGCTTTGTTCCTGAATTTCCTTTTGCGTAATGGAATAATGCTGTCTTCCATCTTTGGTCTGAATGCTATAAAGAAGAAAGAGCAACTGTGCTGCAGCCTGTATCATGTCCTTGTATATGAGGAAGCAATTAGATATATCTATGTGAGAAGCAGACTTTTAGGGAGGTACCCTTTCCTGGAAAGGTGACTCCCTCTTTAATGCATGCATCCTATAGCATTTAGGAGAGTCAATTATCAGATGTTACTCAGGGAGTAGTCAGCAGTTGATTTAGCTCAGGTGTCACATTGTCTTGGACTGGCTTATAAGGTTCATTTGAGCATGATTCAGCTTTACTTTAAGAACTCTGGTGCTTCACAGTGTCTGTTGTGGCCGCAGCTAAATTCTCCTAGACATAATGATTTTGCCTTGTGAACAGGCAAAGTTGTTCAGTGATACCTTATTTTAATGTTGAGGTGGTTCTGAAGAGTTAGGCTGATGAACCCGTGACTAGTTAAATCCATCTTCACTGTACTGTCAGCAAGTTGTTTTCAGATATTATGGTAGAGTAGAATGAGTTAGGAGTGAGCTATGATTTTTATTGGCATTGCTGAGTGGGATAGCTCACAGCTGGAGGACTGCAATGGGTAAGGACAGGTGCTTAGGAAGGGCAGGCTGGGATGGTGGTAAAGGGGAGTTGCTGTGAGAGCAGTGGGATTGCCTGTAGCTTTACCTGGAGATGGGTGAGCCAGTTGAGAGCTTATGGGTCAGGAGCAGTAATGAGGATTTCCTCAGATAACTCAAGCCTAATGTTAAGAGGCTTTCTTGCTAATAGGGTGCTTGGACCACCCTTAGTATTTTCTGGGGAGAAAGCACAGTAGGGACTAAGTAATCCAGGAAGCTTCTGGCATGCACTGATGCCCATATCTCAATACAAGTGCTTGCAAAGAAGCAATGACAAGTTGAGAATGTAAAGGTTAGGAGTAGTCTTGGCTGCAGTGGTCATGAGATAGAACAGTTCAGGATCTGAATTGGAGACATCAAACCAAAATTAGGATTATAGCCATAATCTTCAGAAAGGAAGATTTTCTTCTGTTCAAGGATCTTGGAAGAATCGTTTGGAAGATAGTTCTGAGCAGAGAGAGCCAGGAAAGCTGGTTGACTACTTCTTTAAACTCTGGTGTGGCATATTACAATGAATAGATGGTACAAAGGCACCAGGGGTCCTGCTTGAATGAATGAGGAGCTTCTGAAAAAGCTGAGACACAAAAAGGAAGCATATAACAGGTGGAAGCAGAAACATGTTGGCCCGGGGAGAGCCTGGAGACATCATCCAAGCATGCAAATGTGTCTAGGTCAGAAAGCCAATGTCCTTGTGGAGTTTAATCTTACAAGGTATATGTGAATGGCAACAAGGGAGGCATTCACAGATAATTGGCAGAAAAAAGAATGGAGAAAATGTAGGCCTGCTGCTGAATGGGAGGGGAACTGCTCATAAGGGATGTGGAGATAACTGAGACATTCAATGTCTTCTTCACTTTGTTCTTTACTAGTTAGACTTGTTTTCAGCAATTCTAGGCAAGGAAAGCATACTCTCAGTTAGTAGAGAAGGATCAGGTTTGGGATCACTGTACACAAGTTTGTGGGCTCTAATAGAATGCAGCCAGGAGTGAGATGGGGTGGCCAAGGTAATTTTGTGGTGACTATCATTCACTAAGGTTGTGGTGACTGGGGGGATGGGTTTGAGGGGCTGAACTCAAGCAAATGTCCTTACTATCTCTGAAGAGGGCAAGAAGGAATGTCTAGGGAACCTCAGGCCAGTCAGCTTTACCTCTGTTCTTTGAAAAGTGACAGACCAAATAATTCTGAAAACACATGGAGAAAAATGATATGCAGTAGTTGGTATGGATTAATCAAGGGGTTGTAATGTGTGACCAACCTGATAACAGCCTTCCACACTGAACCAAGCAAGATGACTAGCTTGGTGGATGAGAACAATGGGTGCTTTCTTACCTTGACCTTTCATGAGGCTTTGGAAACTGTCTTGTAACCTCTTCTTTGGTAAGTTGATGAAACGCTTTCTGCATAAAGACACAGTGAGGTTGATCCAAAATAGCTTAGAGGCTAAAATGCCAAGCTCAGGGTGGTGATCAGCATCCTAAAGTTCAATGGGAGGCCAGTCCCTTTTGGTGTAGCTCAGGGTTTGTTATCAGGCCAGCACTGTTTAACATCTTCATTAATAACCTGTGTGACCGGATAGACCCCTCCCTTGGCAAACTTGATGGGATGCAAAGCTGGGAGGAGTGGTTGATAAACCAGATGGATGTGCTGCTACTTGGGAGCAGGCAAGTGAACAAGTGGAAGAAATGAGCCAACAGGAATGTTATGAAATTCAACAAAGAGAAGTGCAAAGCTCTGTCCCTAGGGAGGGGATGTTGGCATTGCAGAAGAGATGCTGTGGATCAAAAATTGCTCATGAATCAGTAATGCACCCTTGCCACAAGGAAGGCAAACCACATCTCGGACTGAATTTCCAGAAGAGAGTGGGCAGTGTGTGGGGGCAGGAGATCCTTTCCTCAGCACTGGTGAGACTGCATCTGTGGTGCTGTCCTGTTCTGGGCTCCAGAAAGAAGCAGGGACAGACTGGAGCAAGTCTAGCAAAGTGGCATGAAGGGGAAGGTCAGAGTGCCTTACAGTCAAGTAGAGGCTGAGAGCACTGAGATTCTTTAACCTGGAGGAGAGAAGAATGCGGGGGGATTCTTATGCATGTGTATAAATAAATACCTGGTGACAGAAAGTAAAGATGATGGAGGCAGACTTGTCTGTGATATCTAGTGATAGGACCAAAAGGCAATGAATGCAAATTAAAACACAGGAAGTTCCACTGAAAGATAAGAAGGTTTTGTTATTGTTGTTTTGTTTGGTTTTCTGGTGTTTTTTGTTTTGTTTTGGGGGTTTTTGGTTGGTTGGGGTTTTTTGTACATTTTGGTTTTGTTTGTTTTTTGGGGGTTTTTGTGTGTGTGTTTCTGGCTTTGTTTTTTTTTCTCCAGGAAAGGCTGAACAGGATCAGGTTACCTGGAGAGGCTGTGGAGCATGCAGTGTGGAAGCCCCAAAAATCTGACTGGGAACAGCCCTAAGCGACCTACTGTGCTCTCTGTGCTCTGAGCACCAGGGCTTGGACTAGCTCATCTTCTAGGGTCCCTTCCATCTCTGCCACTTCAGATCCATTTCAGTTGTTGAATCACTTACAAACTGATATGGAGTCCCACTGCAGATACCATGTAATTTTTTTTCTCTTTCTCCCCATTGAGCAAATATCAGTCTAGGTCAATTCAAAGCAGATTCTTTGTTTAAAGTTGAAGTCCTTTTTGAGAAAGTGATTAGTAAGTACAGACTGTAGTAGAGCTTTGAGTTTTCAAGAAATACAGAAATCTTTCTGTCTTGTGTGCTTCCAGAGACAAAAAGGACCAAATCTAGCCATTTAAAGCAAATTGCGATGCTGTGGTAAAAGGGTTACTCATATATTGTGTTTGACTGAAATGTTAAATCTAGCTGGGAGAACAACTTCACAACTTTAACTGCTCTGTAGAGCTGGTAGAAAGTTGCTTAGAGCTAGTGTCCCTTGTGTCAGAAATTCCCCTGGATCTTAAAACTACTGGTTTGAACTCCATGTTATGACTAACAACAATTTCCTCTGGAAGACTGGGGCAAAAAAGATTCTACAGATCTACAAAAGATACTATGGATTACTGGTTTTCTTCCATTCTGCCCTCTTATTTGATTCATGTTTGCTGAGAGCTTATGCAATATTGGTTCTCTTAACATTTTTGTCTTGAATGGCTTCACAAAAATCTATTCAAACAAAACTGCTTTGTCGTAGTGATAACTTGGGAAATTTAAAATTTGAATGAATACCTATATATACTCATCTTTGTTTACATTAGACTCTGATTATGTGATATACTGCTAACTTCTGCTTATCTTCCACTGTTTTGTCTTGATCACATGTTGCTTTCCATTACACGATAAACTTGCATGTTTGAGTACATATTCTCAAGGAACTCCTGCCCAGTGCTATGGAACATCCCAAACACAAGAACCTGAGTTCCTGTTTTGTTTGCTGTTTATCCAAAATACTGATGAGCTTTGTCTTCCTCTGACCAGGAAGCCAGATGCTTTTATGCTCTGAGGTAATGATCTGAAGAGGAGGAAGAACTTGGAGGAAGAGAGAACATAGTTGTGCTGCAAGTCTGTGGTAGATGTGGATATAGGGAGTGCTGATGTTGTAGCTTATGGAGTTTGTGACGAGTTTTATGGGGGAAGCTGGTCTCTGTGGTTTTTGTGTTCTGCCTGTCTCAGTAGTCTTAAACTGTCAATTGCCCCTTTCCTCTCTTCAGGAAAAGTGTTTGTTTCTGGTAGATGGTGGAAGAAAAAGAGACTGTAGCTCAGTGCTTGCCAGAGTGGAGAGCCATGCTGTGGACAGCCATGTGTGAGTTGGAGGCAATGTTGCCAAGCAACTGATTTTGCAGGTGTGGTTTGGTGAAGGAGCAGTTCTTTCTCTAAAAGCTGTGTCAGACTATGATTTTTTGTTTAAAAAAGAAGAAAAAAAAATGGAGTAGGTAACTTTCTCTCTTGCATGGATGTGGAAAGGAATGCAAAATTCCACATTCAGCTATTGATTGCTATACAAGAATCTAATGCATTTTTACTGAAGTCTTTTGAATGGAAATGAGTAAAGTTTCATAGTACAGGACTTCATTGGTATGATTAAAGGCCACAGTAGTCATATAAAAAATTGTGCAAAAGACAATGGAAGTAATTTGTCATGTAACCTGGTATTTCTGAATGCAGCTGAGCTTGCAGATGGATTCAAAACATGGCAGTAAGGGACAATCTGGAATGGATGATCATTTGAAATAAGCTCCTGGCAATGTGTGTGAAGTCATTAGGGTTTAAATTTGTCATTCATAGCAATAAATAGAAGCAACCAATGTATTGATAAATAATGATGCTTTTATAATATAGGGGCTGATTATCCCATTAAGGTGTATATGTATATATGGGGTATTTTTTCAGTTGCCAGTTATCTGTAGAATGACAGAAATATCCCTTTAAACATGGCAGATGCCACACTTTATGTGCACCCTTTAGATCTTCGGGGGAAGTGTGCTTGAGCACTTAAGCAGGAGTGAAACCAAATAGGCATGTCAGTAAGACACTGAGTGCAGGCTTTTTGGTCTTTGTTCTCATTGTCACGTGATACCTGGCTTATCCTCAATGTCAAATGCACTGAGCTGCTGTACTGGGGTTCTCTGAGAGTGGGGTAACTTTCCATAGCAGCACTCATGGTGCTGTGCTTTGCAGCTCTAGAGGGATGTTGATGGCACACCAGTGTTTCAGCTGGTGCTGAGCAGTGCAAGTGCTGCATCAAGGCTGTCTCTTCAGCCTCCCCCCAAAGGCCGCAGGACTGGAGGTGGGTGAAAGTTTGTGAGAAGATGTAGCCAGGGCAGCTGATCCAAACAAACCTAAGGGACAGGCTGTAACAAGTGACAAAGTAAAAGCTAAGAGGAAGCAGGGGAATAGAGAGGTTTTGTTGTCAGGGTGTTTGTCTTCCAGAGCAACCAGCTGTGTACTGAGACCTCGCTTCCTAGGAAGTGGATATCACCTGCTGATAGGAGAATAAATATTTTTCTTCTTACTTCTGCATATGGTCTTTGCTTTTCTTTATTAAACTGCCTTTATCTTGACCCATGGGGGTTTTTTATCTTCTTTTCTCCTCTTTGGTGGGTGCATGATGACCAGACAAAGTTTATGCACCAGAACTGGTGAGGGTTTCTTGTGTGTTCTAAGTACAAAGTAACTGTCATTTTCATTAGTAAAGACTGTGAAGCCTTGGTTCCATTTTCTAGGTGTTCTGCAGCCCAGAGCAAGCAACTCCTGAAAGAAGTGATGCTAACTACCCCTTGACACTTGTATTTTTCACTGTGATTTCTGTGGAGCTTTCTGGATGTTCATGGAGTCCCTGCTTTAAAAAGGTTACTCCAAAAATGTATTTATGGAACTTAAGGATTCTGTCGAGTGTTTGGTCTTAAGTGAGAATTTGAAAAATACTACAGATCCAAGATCTCATGCCTGATAGGCTTGCAAAGTTTTGAGAGCAAATTTGGACAATCAATAACTTGTCAAGCAACCTTAATCCTGCTTTGAACTCATACTCACAAGTCTGTATTCCAGACTGAATGCAGCTACTGCTTTGGTATTCCGTTTCTCTTCTGATATCTGAAGAAAATGATACTTAGAGGAAAAATACTGTACAGCTACAACTTATTTTCTACACAAAATACAGAAGATTACTTTGGAAAAATAACTTGCACAAAAAACCCTCCCAACTTTCTCTCAATTTTTTTAAATGCAAATCTAGTTAAATCAGCTGTGAAGAGCACTACTTGAAAGTGAATCTGTTCTTTCCTTTCTCAGTCACATGTAGCTGATATAATGATGTCTGAGTATTGATGATTGTCTGTCATGCTGGAATGTTTAACTGTGCTAGTTTGAATTATATTTAATTTAGTATCATCATGCAGGAGACTGACATAGTTTTAGGAAGCAAGAAGATGCCCTTAGAAAACTGCAAAGCACATTTAAGCCTTGAATGTGTGTAGCATGATGCATTTGAATTGTGTATAACAAGAAGATGCCCTTAGAAAACTGCAAAGCACATTTAAGCCTTGAATGTGTAGCATGATGCATTTGAATTGCGTATAGATAAGTTACTTTGTGGTTACAAATGACAAAATTTTCAAATACTGGACTGAGTTTTTCCTCAAAGAGTTGAAAGGTGAAATAGGCCTTAGAATTGTTCAGAACAGCTGAGCAAAGCCCTAAGCAGCATGATCTAATTAGATCTGATCGAGATATGAAGTTAATCTAAGTGGCCTCAGGAAGTGCATTTATGCCTAGATTATAGTTCTTTTGTTCACTGACTGAGGAAATACAGACGTTAACACCTGCTCTTTGAAAGATAGATCTCACAGAGCATAGATGCCTTCAGTTGTGTGGATTGGCTCAAACCTCGATTCAGGGAGCGGTATTGAAGCACTCCAAGTTGTGATCCATTTTCCGAGACTTGGGCGGAGTGCAGTATTGGGGTGTAGCTACCCTGACATGCAGGTCCTGGGATTTGTGGGAAAGGTTTGTGTCTATGACACTGGAGGTTTAAGTGGAGAGAAGGTGTGATTCTGCCTGTCCTCTTCAGCCTATACTTTTCCCCAGTCTTTTGTTAATTTAGTACCCTGAGCTCCACTGGAAGTTTTGCTCTGAATATTGATAATACCATTACAGTAAACTCAAGGGTTAAAACCAGAGTTGCATTTGTGAGGTACGCTGTTCCTGTGCCTGACAACTGTGGTATATTAGTGTTTGAGGATGGGCTAATGAGCTCTCTGTAGCTAAGACAGATGAAAGGTGCAGCCTAAAAATCTGCTTGATCTGTTCTACATAACCTGAAGAGGAAGTGAGACAGTATGTAGAGGAGGATTGTAGATGAATGTCTGCAGTGGATATGGATTTTGTGGATGTGGATGCCAGTGGGATGGCAGAGAGACTCAGAAGAATAAGACTGAGAAAACTCATGGGCTGAGATAAAGACAGGTAAAGCAAAAGCTGTGCCCACAAGCGAGGCAAAATAAGGAATTAAGCATCAACAGGTGGGTGTTCAGCCTTATCCAGGAAAGCAGTTCTGTCATGTGTAACAGTTATGTAGTTACTCACTCCAAATGTCTCTTTCTCCTTCTTACTCCAGTTTTATTGCTGAGCGCAGTGTTGTATGCCGTGTCCCTTTGGTCAGATGGGGTCAGATGTCTCAGCTGTGTCCCCTTCTGGCCTCTTGCCCACCCCAACCTCCTCACTGGCAGGACAGTCTGAGGAGCAGAAAAGGCCTCAGTGGTATGTAAGCAGTGTTCAGCAATAGCTAAAACATTGGTGTGTTATTGACACTGTTTTGGACACAGATTCCAAAAAGCACAGATTCTAGAGCTTTCTATGAAGAAAATAAACTCCATCCCCACACAAACGAATATAGCAGAGAGGATTGGTACATGAAGCAATCTGGCTGGTCATTATAGATGATTTCAGTATATTTCTACTGTCTAGAGGTTGAAATTTGGCTTTACTTTGCCTGCTCATGGCTGCTTGAACAGGTGTACTTTTTGTTCAGTATAAACTGACTTGGTGGCCAGGCCTAGAGAGTGGTGAATGGAGTCACATCCATCTGGTCACTTGT